TTGCACCACTTGGCTTTTACCTCTGTCCTCGTCTAAATTCAGCTTCTCTTTATCTGTAGAAGCTTTAAGCATGAATGCTTCATCAAATACTGCATTCCTACTTATCACCATCTTCCTGGCCTCTGGATCCCAAAACTTGTATCCCTTTACACCTTTAACATAGCCCAGAAAAATGCATTTTCTGGATTTCGGATCAAGTTTGGATCGCTGATCACTAGATACATGCACATACGCCGGACAACCAAAAACTCTCAATTCAGAATAATCAACTTCATTACCTGTCCAAACTTCCTCTGCAATTTTCCCATCTAGTGCTGCTCGTGGTGATCTGTTTATGACATAACATGCCATGTTCACTGCTTCTGCCCAAAAACTCTTCGAGAGCCTTGCGTTCAGCCTCAAACATCTTGCCCGTTCTGCAATTGTTCTGTTCATCCTTTCCGCAACACCATTCTGTTGTGGTGTCTTGCGAACTGTATAGTGCCGCTGAATACCATGCTCCCCACAAAATCTCAAAAACTGTGAATCTGTATGCTCTGTATCGTTATCTGTCCTCAGATACTTAATTTTTCTGCCCACCTGGTTATCTACTTCTGCTTTCCATAATTTGAACTTGGCAAAGGCTTCAGACTTGTGCTTCATGAAATATACCCAAACTTTTCTAGAGAAGTCATCAATGAAAGTAATAAAGTACTGAGATCCACCTTTGGACAACTCCCTCACTGGTCCCCAAATATCTGAGTGCACATAATCAAGAATTCCCTCTGTCTTGTGATTTCCCATCTTGAACTGTACTCTGGACTGTTTTCCAAGTACATGGAACTTGCAAAAATTCAACTTGCATGATTTTACCCCCTTCAACAAATTTCTCTTGTGAAGTTCAACCATGCCACGTTCTCCTATATGCCCCAGTCGCATATGTCATAGAAGAGTGTCATCTGACTCTGATTCTGCTGTAGCAACTCCACCTACAACTGTATCCCCGAGTAGTTTGTAGATATTCCCTACTAATTTCTGACCCTTCATCACAATCATAGCCCCTTTCTTCACTGTTAGAGCCCCACACTCTGACTTATAAGAGTAACCGTTTGTGTCTAAAGTGCCTAAAGAAATTAGATTCTTTTTCAACTCAAGTACATGCCTAACATTTTCCAAGGTCCTTATCACACCATCGAACATTTTAAATTTTATGGACCCCATTCCAATGACCTTACATGATGCATCATTACCCATCAGAACAGATCCAAAATTACCAGAACGATATGAATGAAACCAATCCCGGTGAGGACACATGTGATATGAACAGGCTGAATCAAGTACCCAACAGTCATTTAATTTTACAGAATTACCTGCAGAGACTGATAACATGTCTCCATCTCCAGAATTCGAGTCTCCTTCTGCAACACTAGCTGAGTTTGAGGACCCATCACCTTTCCTTTCATCATTCTGCTTCTTATTAGGACAGTCTCTCTTAAAGTGGCCCATCTGATGGCATTTGTAGCACTATACATTTTTTTTTATTTTGATTTCTAGATTTTGATCTTGTGTTCCCTCTAAAAGAAACACCCCTGTCCTTCCTTCTCCCACGATCCTGGTAACCCTTTACGATCAACCCTTCACCCTGTGAAGTTTCACCAGTACGCAGTTTTCGCTGGTTGTAGGCTAACAGGGCTGATGTGACTTCCTCCAATTCGAGAGTCTCTTTACCCCACGTCAACGTGGTCACCAGATGGTCGTACGAAGGAGGTAGTGAACACAACAAAATCATTGCCTTGTCTTCATCATCAAACTTGATTTCAAGTCGCAATAGATCACTGATGATTTGATTAAACACATTGGTGTGTTGAATCAGATCCGTACCCTCCAACATCTTCAGCCCGTACAGCCGCTGCTTTAGATGCAGCTTGTTCGTGAGAGACTTCGACATATAACGACTCTCCAATTTCTTCCAAATCTCTGCCGGAGACTCAACGTCCATTACGTGATACATGATTTCGTCCGCCAAACAAAGCCGAATTGTACCAACTGCTCGCGCCTCGAGCTTTTCCCAATCGGCATCTGACGTACCCTTTGGTTTCTTCCCAGATAGTGTCTTCATCATCCCTTGCTGCGCCAACAAATCCTTCACCCTTCGCTGCCATAATCCGAAGTTCCTAGATCCGTCAAACTTCATCACATCAAATTTTGCAATCGAAGAACTCGCCATGTGAACCTGGCTCTGATACCAGTTGTTGGATTTTATGCGCAATATTAAAGAGATAAAAAAACGGAAATCAACACAAGAATTTTACGTGGTTTGGCGATGTGCCTACGTCCAAGAGAGCGAAGCGGAGATTTCTTTTTTCAGTTATTAAAAATAGGGTTACAACATATTATTAATACTAACCCTAATCTGAGCCCATATAAAACTTTAAGGCCCGTTCCGTTTGATGCGCTCCGCTTCTCTCACTCCACTTCGCTCCGCGCCGGCATCGGCCCATTTGATCCAGGGCCTGTGTTGCACTCTATATGAGCCACATGCACAACAATTCCCAACTTCATATTTATATGTTCCAGGTCTCCCTTCAACTCGACAATTGTTGCTCCCAAGGGGGAAATCTGTGCCACTTTATTTTCTAATGCTTCAATCCAATTGTCCATTCGAGTCGCTGGCATTCGATTCCCAGGATTTCAACGCTCTGATACCAAAATGTTAGATCCCAGGTAATTCCCAAAATTATTTGACTACAGATGCTTTAGTGATATCAAATTAACAGGAAAATGACACTGAATCTGAATAGGAAGATTATTAATATTGAATGGAAGAACTGCAATAGTAACGCTATGAAAATATAAGGCAGATTCGAGAGCTGCCCCCTTTCCTAAGGACTCAGACCTTTCCTACCTTCTTCTCTGCCTTCTAGACTCTACTAACTCATACTTATTGACCCCCTACTCTAACAACCATGACATCATCTTTACTCAACAAATCTAACGATTAAGATTCCCTCCAACCCCCTTACATCCCTTTTTTGTGACGCCTTTGGTATGTGAACCGTATGGGAGGTATATCAAAATGAACAATTCAAGAACCTGCGTCGGTTGCTCCTATGTTTTGAAGCGGTGTTTGGATTAAAAATCAATTTGGGGAAATCTGAGGTTATTCCAGTTGGGGAGGTCACTAACGTGGAGGAGTTGGCTGGCATATTGGGATGTAGGATTGCACAATTGCCCATGTTATATTTAGGCCTCCCGCTAGGGGCACGGTTTAAAAGTACACATATCTGGAATGTTATTATAGAAAGAATGGAGAGGAGGTTAGCAGGGTGGAAGCGTATGTATCTTTCTAAGGGAGGCCGACTTACTCTTATTAAATCCACTCTCTCAAATCTCCCCACTTACTTTTTGTCATTGTTTTCTATTCCGGTTGCAGTGGCAAATAGATTAGAGAGATTTCAAAGAGAATTCTTGTGGGCAGGGTTAGGGGAGGAGAGGAAAATGCATTTGGTTAATTGGGGTAGTATTTGTTTGCCTGTGAGGATGGGGGGGGCTTGAAGTGAGGAGCCTTGTTTTGTTTAATAAGGCTTTATTGGGCAAGTGGTTGTGGCAATTTGGAGTGGAGAGGGAGAGCTTTTGGAGAGAAATCATTAGGGCAAAGTATGGTGTGATGGAGGGGGGTTGGTGTACGGTTGAGGGTCGTGGCTCCTATGGGGTGAGTTTGTGGAGGTATATCCGACGGAGATGGAGTGATTTTAGGGACAAACTAAATTTTGTGGTGGGAAATGGCACTGATATTAGATTTTGGGATGTTGGTGTGGCGATCAACCGTTAAAGGAGGGATTTTCTTCATTGTAGTGTATTGCGTTAGAGCCTGCTGCTATGGTGGTGATGTATTAGACATTCATAAAGGGGGCTATAGTTGGAATATTACTTTTGGGAGGGGTTTACAGGATTGGGAATTGGAAGATTATTCGTTTTTTTGACCGCTGTGCATGAGATACAAATTCGGGTAGGAGAGGGTGATTGCAGCAGGTGGAGGTTGGCTCGATATGGAATTTTTTCAGTCTGCTCATACTTTCAATCCCTTTTGGGATTTGTGGAGAGTTCATTATCTTGGAAGATGGTGTGGCAAAGCAAATTGCCTCCATGGGTAGCATTTTTATTGTGGACAGGTATGAGGGGGCAGGTGTTAACGGTGGATAATCTTCGACGAAAAGGATTTTATGTAACCGAGTGGTGCTATATGTGCAAAAAGGGTGGAGAGACGATTGATCATTTATTCATTCATTGTGATGGTGTACGTTGGCTTTGGAACAGTATTCTGGCTTCTCAATCATTGGATTGGGTGCTACCTAGGCGTATATAAGACGTGGTGTGGGCATGGAGGAGAAAACTTCGTAATAAAAATATCAAACTTTTCTGGAATCTTATCCCGGGATGCATTGTATGGTGCATATGGAGAGAACGAAACGATCGATGTTTTGAAGACCAAACAAAGATAACAGAGCGGATAAGAGAATTATTTTACTTTGACTTTGTATTCTTGGTTTAATGCAGTGGCTAAAAATCCTGTTGTAGGGTTGCCTAATTTCATGTTGTTCCTTTCATACCTAAAGTGATTGTATACTTCCCGTGTACTCTCTTTTAAGGAATAAAATTCTCTGATTACCTATCCAAAAAAAAAAAAAAAAAAAAAGTTTTAACTTATAATTCACTTGTCTACTAATTTTATTTTTTTAACTTTTGCTCATTACCTTAACTATAATGTACATGTGCTAAACTAATCATCCCGTAATTAGGCATTATAACCCGTTGATTGTAGAGACATCTGAACGGAAAATATTGTATTAATAACTTTGAAATGAACAAATGATTTTTATATTCACTTATCAGGCTTTGTTAGTGTTGTCCTTCATGATGTTTGGGATTCAAAACACTTCTTTTGTATGCGGGACTTAACACTGCATATTACATACTTATCTTTTATATTCTGCCTCAGTGAACAATTCTTTGCATGCTAGGTTGCTTACCCTTTGGTGACTCTTCTGCTATGTCTTGGTGATCCTAATATTTTCCTCAGTAATTTTGGCCCTCACATGGAACAATTATACAAGCACCTTAGGGTAAGCTATAATTTGTCTTTAGTGCATTTGATTTCAGATGCTCCGAAAGGATTTAACCTGGATTTCTGTTGCAGGATAAGAACCATCGCTTCATGGCCTTAGATTGTCTACATCGCGTTCTGAGGTTTTACTTAAGTGTTCATGGTGATTCACAACCTCCCAATCGTGTGTGGGATTACCTGGATAGTGTCACCTCACAACTTCTGACAATCCTAAGGAAAGGAATGCTCACTCAGGATGTCCAGCACGACAAACTTGTGGAGTTCTGTGTGACTATTGCAGAACATAACCTTGATTTTGCTATGAATCATATGATATTGGAATTATTGAAGCAAGATAGTCCAAGTGAAGCAAAGGTTATAGGTCTTCGTGCTTTGCTTGCCATTGTTATGTCTCCTACAAGCCAGCATGTTGGCTTGGAAATTCTGCATGGTAACTTTTACTTATCTTGTCATGCAACTCTCTTTTTATGTCTGATCAGCTTAATTGAGGTTTGTGTTGCATTGGCAGTTCATAATATCGGTCACTACATTCCAAAAGTTAAGGCTGCAATTGAAGCCATTCTGAAGTCGTGCCATAGAACTTATAGTCAGGCCCTTCTCACTTCTTCAAGGACCACTATAGGTAACTTTGGGTTTATTGTAGTTTTTATTTTCTATGTAAGACCATTAGTTTGGCATACCTGTTACTGATTGCACGTCATATAATAATCATAAGTCAGAAAAATGTAATCTATTATTTCTTGTGGATTTTTGTGAAGTTTCATTTTTCTAAACTTACAACCCTCAGAGCTCTTTTAAACTGGTAAAGTCAAACATTTTTCAAGGACAATCAGAATCCTTTAAAATTCTGGAAATGTAAACAAGCGCACAGACCTTAATTTGTGTATAACTGTTTCCACAACTGTAGAATCAAAGAGGAAACCCTTAGTTTAGTTGTATTGATTTTACATAAGCAAATTAACAGTAATTTCTAGCCTCCCTAAATCCGACTATTTTGATCTGTTTTCCATTTCCATGCTGGAACTGCATCTCTGAACTAAAGTAGGTTTCTGTGTTTACCAAAGTGAAAGTTAAACTGTCATCTTCCTGTGTCTTTTGGGGCAATGGAAATTGTAGGTAATTTTTTTAGGATTCGAGTCATTTAAACAAAAGAAAGTTGATCTATCATATAGTTCCGTGGCCAAGGTCTATAGTTGGACCACTTTTATAGGAGCACCATGAATGGGATGAAGTCTTTGTATCTTCTTAGTTTGTATTGTTCCTGGTCACATCAGCAGAGTTTTTCCCTGCCTCATAGGTTGATGTTAAGATACCAACTGTAGGAAAATATGGATAAGCAACAACAATGAAAAACAGCAATTTATTGATGGAATTCGGAGGAACTATAGAAATGCAAGGTAACAATTATAGCCTTTTGGAGAGGGCTATTCTCTCCTGACTTAACTACCAATATTTGCCTCCTTCCCTATTAATTTCCCCTTCTATATATAGGCAAACTTGACTGTAGCATTTTACATTTTTATCCCTCATTCTAACTAACTGGTGGACATTCTGGAATTGGGCTCATCTAATTGGGGCCTATCATTACCCGCTGCCCCAAAAATACCTTGTGCTCAAGGTGGAAGCGTGGTTCAACTTCAAAATTTGGGTTTCCATTTAGCAGAACCATTTTTGCAGTAAGCTTGTTGTGGCTGTTAGCCTGTGTAGTCAACAGCCCACCTATCATTAAAATTCGATCCATAAAAACCCCATAGCCGGTCGTACCCGTTCGCAAGTGTTCCAAAAATTGAACCCGCCAAATCGAAATACAATGTTGCATAGTACCACGACCAATCAACTCAGTCACCCCTTCTTGTACTATTATCGAATTAGTAATTAACAATCCTAGCGTATCACCAAACTCCCCACTTGGTCTTAAAAATCCCTCCACCTTCGTTGCTACTTATTTCCTCCAAACCCATTGAAATTTGATGAAGGCTAATTAATTTCTTCTCCAAAAGAACACTCAACAAGTTGAGAGAAGCCACCACCACCACTTTGAGACTTCTAATTTGACCCGTGAGTTCCATGGACTGTAATCCAGCTTCAGTCAGTCTCTTGCTACCCAGATTATTGGATTTTCCAATTTCTAGAGGTCCTAATTTAGCTAATCCAATGGCCGGCGCACCATTCTGGAGGAAGTTTCGTGAAGGCGATCTCATCCGAGAGATGAGAAGGCCTGGAGACTGCTTATGGGCCATTTTATTTGAAGGGAAGCATTGGGCCTGGTTTAAATTCATCTGTTGGCCCGAAACGGGATAAGACGTACCTGCTTTTGGGCTGCCTCCAGCCCACTGATTTTGGATTAAATAGTTTTTGTCATCCTTCTCCGTCAACTGATTAAGCCCCTTAGGTCGTAGCACTCGTTTCTCGGCCTTCATCTCCGGCTTCAACCCATTCCCAATTTGGCCCTCCATCAACGCTTTAGAATTTGCTTGCAACGGAGTTTTCAGGACCTCAAAAATCGGTATTTCGAGCACAAGACAGTGCGCCTTTGCCCTTCCCAATTCTTCTCTGTGACTCCAGTTGTCTGCAGACTCTACACTTGTCCCAATATTCTCCAATTGTAGCGGAGTTTCAGAATTAATGGTCGGTTCCAACGAAGTGAATGCGACCCACTTTTCCTTTGTGTTCTGGTGTGTTCCCTTTATGATTCCTCCATAACTGACTTCCTTTGATCCTTCCATGTTCATGCCTGCCTCAGCGAGCTTGTTTGGAATTTTAGAAGGAAAGGTATGTCCAGTAAGCTCCCTCCCATGGATGGCCAAAAATCTGACTGCCATCCCCGCTTTCAATTCTTCCCCAAGTTTGCATGGGTTGATGACAATCTATCCATTAAAACCACTCCCAAGCTTCACCGTCCAAGCATGCCACAGCGGCCTCCACTTTTTCCCCTGTCGAGAATTGATTCCTAGCGAAAATTTCATCAGCTTTCCTTAGCCACCAATCTGGATCACCATAATAGAATATTGATATTTTTAGTCGACCTAGCGAATCCAATCCCGAATCCTTTGTCCGATCTCCTCCTTCCTGTTGCAACATCAAGCGGTCAAATTGACTCATTAACGAGCTCCATTTTTCCTCCCATTCCTTGCTGGATTTTGTTTCCCTTTGCCGCGGAATCGGAGCTCTGATACCAATTTGTTAAGATACCAACTGTAGGAAAATATGGATAAGCAACAACAATGAAAAACAACAATTTATTGATGGAATTCTGAGGAATTACAGTAATGGTAACAATTATAGCCTTTCGAGAGGGCTATTCTCTCCTAACTTAACTACCAATATTTGACTTCTTCCCTATGAATTTCCCCGTCTATATATAGGCAAACCTGACTGTAGTATTTTACATTTTTATCCCTCGTTCTAACTAACTGGTGAACATTCTGGAATTGGGCTCATCTAATTGGGGCCTATCAGTTGAGTTGAGCATTTTTGCTTCTCATTAAGTGCTTAATATGGCAACCTTGAAACTTTATACTGCCATACTTTTTATTCTGAAGCAAAATTAAGAAAAGCAATAGATAAGTGCTTAGCATATCCAAAGAACTTGCACCTGCTTGTTGCTTAGTTATTTGGCGTGCAGAATATCTGCTGACTTTTCATCGTACCTCTTGTTTTGTCTTCAACTAAGCTTGTCATTTAACAACTTGTTTAAATATTTTCTTTATATGGTTCTTGGATTTCTCTTATAAATTGCTTAAATTGTGCTTCTGCTAAAGTGGGATATACAACTGACGAATACTTCTCCAGATGCTGTCACAAAGGAAAAGTCTCAAGGATATCTTTTCCGGTCAGTGTTGAAGTGCATACCATATCTGATAGAAGAAGTTGGCCGAAGTGATAAAATTACGGAAATCATACCCCAGCATGGCATCAGTATTGATCCTGGTGTTCGTGAGGAAGCTGTACAGGTTCTGAATCGGATTGTAAGATACCTACCCAATCGTCGCTTTGCAGTTATGAGAGGGATGGCAAACTTTATCTTACATCTTCCTGATGAGTTCCCCCTTCTCATTCAAACATCATTAAAACGCCTTCTGGAACTCATGCGCTTTTGGAGAGAATGTCTGTCCGATGATAAGGTAGAAATTGACATTTCTGATACAAAGCGTGTGCAGAGAAATGAAGCATTCAGAAAATCTTCCTTTCTTCAGCCTCAGGAAGCAATTGAATTTCGTGCTTCAGAGATAGATGCTGTTGGTCTTATATTCCTTAGTTCTGTTGATAGTCAAATCAGGCATACCGCCTTGGAGTTACTGCGATGTGTACGTGCTTTACGAAATGATATACGAGAACGTTCAAGAAATGAACGGCCGGAGCATATCCTCAAAAATGAGGTTGAACCAATATTCATAATTGATGTTCTAGAAGAGAATGGGGTGGGTAACACTTTCTGACTCCTCTAAGATATCTGAAATTCTGCTTCATTTATACATCTGTTTATAAACTAGGTGTCGGAGGTTTAATTTACACAACTGTGTTTCACAGGATGATATTGTTCAGAGCTGTTATTGGGATTCTGGACGTCCTTTTGATCTGAGAAGAGAATCTGATGCTGTACCTCCTGATGTCAGTCTCCAGTCTATACTTTTCGAGAGCCCAGATAAGAACAGGTGGGCTCGATGTCTAAGTGAGATTGTAAAATATGCCGCTGAGCTCTGTCCTACCTCTGTTCAGGAAGCAAAGTAAGTAACATCTCATAGTCGGTTCTGGAATATGCATTCACATTCTTGAACCTTGTTATTCCGTAATTATTAATTTAAATTGACATCTTACTCGCCTAAGCCAAAATCTATGAATATATGCTTTAACTATTTCACTTCAAAATGTATTCAATGATAATGTACCCATTAGCAAAATGACCTCAATTTATTTGCCAATAACATGGTGTCCTTGGTCATGACTCTCGTTTTGAATTTGAATTTACAAATACAAGGTTTACTAATTCGTGATAGAATAAGATGTTGAACCACTTGAAATAAAAGCTTAAGCTCCCGGGGGG